ACCTATGCCCTCTAGTTTTGGACTCCCCTACCCTGGGAGAAAGACCTTGGCTATTCACCCAATCCATGCCCCTCATGATTTTATAAATCTCTGTAAGGTCATCTCTCAGCCTCTGACACTCCAGGGAAAAAAGACATTCTTATCACCAAAACATCACATTGTCCTTGTAAACAGCGGTTATTCATTTGCAGGAAAGGCCCTCGGTGTTAAAAGCGATAGAATCACAGCAAAGATGTTTATTCTGATAGGAAATTCCTACTTCCCCAAACCAGATGATTAAACAATGCTACTAACTTGCCAAATTAGGATTCTGTGGGCAGCAGCAAACCTTTATTAACTCAACCAAGTAACTACTCTGACCGTGAAAGCTTCAGAGATGACTGCAAATGTGGTCTGTTTTCAGGTGACATTGCCAATAACCAACAATCATTCCACTCTACAGTGTTCCCAAGTATCAAGGCATACTTCAATGTATCAGTATCAAGGCATACTTCAACGATCAAATAATTCCACAGCACACTGAGTGGTACAGGCAGTCTACACATGCACGGCTCTGGAGACTTGCACATGCACAGTTAATAGGGGTGCCTGGTATCAGCAGATACTGCTTTCAATAATAGACACCAAGGTTTCAAAGGATATCAGAAGCACAGATGTGGCCTTGACACGCAGGTAAAGCAGCGCTCGTTCTTCAACATTTTCCAGCACACTTTTCACCTTGCTATGGCACACAGTTGAAAACCACTGCAGTAATTTTCAGGATCTGGAACTCAGGATTATATTTGACCACTTAATCCAAAGGAATGTAGATCAACAGTAGTCCCCATTCAATGCAATCTTAAACAGAAAGAAACCTTATCCAACTTGAAGTTATGGAATTCATGGTGCTTACTAAGACAAAAGTCAAAGAATCTTAAGGAAGTTTTATGAAAAATACTGTTGTGGTTTAAGGGACTGAACTTCACTGGATGCCATTTACTTATTACACTAGAATTGTGCCTAATAATGCCTTCCAGATCTGACCCTGAAGGTGGATGAGAATTCTACCTCAGGCACTGCTCAGACTTTCACATCCCCCTTGCACACTGGTAACCCTGGCACCTGTGTGATTGCCTTTCCTTAGGCTGCATGGCCTTCTAGCCTTGAAAGATAACTTAGGTTAGAACTCATGTACATGAAACTGAACTACTATAATGTGGACATGTAGTAATTCTCAGATTAAGAAGTCCTCACCACTTGCTCCAGCCTTTGATCGCCATTCACCTTGGAAAGAATATCAGATGATTAATGTCATACACAGCAAAGAGGAAAGAAGAGCCCAGAAACAATCAGGTCTCTCCAATTTTTTGAAGTACACAGTTAAGGAATGAATGGTTCTATTTACAGGTAAGGATGGTTATAGGTTCAGTCGCAAGATAGGACCGTATCTTGAAAGATTAAGATGTAGAATTTGTTTGGGTGAAGACAAGAAATGGTAAAGGCTAAATTGACACTTGTGAGAGTAGTTTATAAAGTCTTCAAACAGTAGTTACAAGGTCAGAATAATTAGAAAGAAATAAATGGGGTAAAGACGAAATTTATGGCAATAATCATGGGGAACTTATCTACATGTAAATTGGAAAAACCATTAGCAAAAGGTAATTTAGAAACTTAGCTTACAGAATGTCCTCAGGACAGTTTCTGAGAGCAATATTTTCAAGAGCCAATGAGGGAACAATCTATTCTACACCTGGTAATGTGTAATGAGTTCGGATTAATCACTAACCTCTTACTAAAGAAGTATACAGCTGACAGCAATCACAGCACAATAGAATTTAATATTTAGATTGAAAGTGAAAAGCGTGGGTTTATGACTAGGGTTTTAAGCTTAAATAAAGGTAACCATGAGGGTATGAAGGTTGATCTAGCTAAGGTGGACTGGCACCATTTAATAATTCTCAGCCTATGTTTCTATGTAAGGTTATAAGTTGCACCACAAGACATTAAAATTCAAAGCCATTTACTGGCTTTTTTTAATAAATAATTTTGCAACAGCTATTATTTATTAATAATTATGCATATGTGGTAGCACTGGATATAAATGATTTATGAGAGCATTCACATATTCTGAGTCTCTAGCTCAAAAATAATGTATTCTGAAAATCTGATTAACACATCTCCTTATATAATTTCTTTTCCAGTATGGATTCACAGTTTATCAGAGATTTACCTCAGGTAAGTTGGGAGACAAAGTCAGCTTGCCCTAATTCTTCAAAAGTAGAATGCCACAAGGTTTTTATTAGCAAGCATACTCTTCAATGGCTACAGAAATGATATATCATCAATAAAATTGCTTAACTTTTTATATGTAGATGATCTTGTCCTATCATTCATGTAACTGTCGTTGACAACATAGAACTCACTTTGAACAGAGAACTAAATACAGTAAGGGTTTAGGATCTGCAAGCTCAAGCCAAACTGCCACTGAACAGCAGTCATTGCAGTCCATCTTGAGAATACAGATATTAAGCACGCCCTGAAAGTGAATGTCTGGGTACATCCCATTCCCATTCATCTTAAAATGAAGTTGGACTCCAATGACTCCATCCACTCATAATTATCTGAAAAAATAGCTACTTATTCGAAGATAAAAGTAAACTTGGTTTTAAAACTGGTGAACACAAAGCTTATGAGCATCAGCTTGAGTGCCTCACACTTCAATGACTAATATACTCCACAACTAGGTATTGTCCAAGAGTCAAGATGAGAAGTAGCCACACTTGACTCGATGTTTGCAAACTGAACACTGCAATGCAATACATCATGAGAACTCTCAAGTCAATCCCAACAGTATACACATCTGTGTTATTGCATATCAGCCGTCCACCAACTTTCCACGATGCAGTAACCCCTCAGGAAGTCTAACTAATTGAGCAAAAACAAAATCTCTCCATATGCTAAGATCAGAATAGTGACCATCAAAACCACTAGACAGTTTGTAAACCTTTCTAAACCCACGTGCTCGACTATCACGAACGCAACTTCAATCCTAATGAAGGTGGGAAAGCGGAATAGATATCACAAGAAGTCATAAATGCCTTGTAAAAGACCTGATGCAGGAGATTTCTGACTGGTTTGCTGTGATGATTGAATGCGTAATTATAGCTGTTACATTTCACGTGAATGTCCATGAGAATGAACATGGCCTTCCAGTTGCTTGCCATTTCAATAAACCATTTGCTCCTATGCTAACATTTCTATCCAGTACTATCCTAGTAATCCAATGAAGCTCAGCACAAGTTCATGAATAACTGATTTTCTGCTTAAGCACCTTACAGGCTCTGGGACTCCATGCTGAATTTAACAACTTCAGAGCATGACTTCTGTCCTCCATTTTGATTATAACCCTTACCCAACTGCAGCTGTAATTATTTGCATCATATTGACGTTGCTCTCAGCAATGAAAACCTATTTTCCCTTTTAACACTTATCATGTACACCTATTTTAGATCGCTATCTCTCCTTTACCGCCATTCACACTCCCTTTGTCTTTTACTCTGGGTGCCCTCACCAACTGAAGCTCTCGCTCCTCCTGCCCCTTTGTTAACAGCATAAAAGCACCATTTTCTATTCCTATTCAGTTCTGAAGAGTTTTTTGAAACTTGAAACATTACTCTGTTTGTCTCTCTCAGACATGCTACCAGATCTATTGAGTTACACCAGCGATTTTTGTTTTATTTCAGATTTCCATCATCTATAGTCTTTTGCTTTAGTAAGAGTATACAGAGATCTTCACTGTCTCCTTTAGTGACACCAGTTTATGTGACCAGAAATGTTACTAAAGGGGTAGTACATGTGGCTACTAAAGATAAAATGGAAGTTCCAATACTTTCAGCTTTAGAAAATGGTCAGAATGATTTTTCAAGCAACAACAAACACAGTGAGCCAGATGAGATTTACAAAATTGCAGAAAACAAGAAACTGCACTTCAGAAACATCTTTCGGCAGTAATAATGATATTCTACTTTTGAATGAGAGCCTAGAGAATGTAGAAACCTAGTGTTCCCAGCTTACTGTCAGAAATGGAAGTAGTCAACTTTGGAATTCTTATGTTGTCTTCTCATGGAGAATTTTTTGCAGTAGCAACAGATGTGGTTTCAACAATCCTGACAGCAAATCTTCCTGGGCCTAAAGCAGTCCCTAAAGAGATTTTTATTAATGATTTGCTGTCCTAGTATGAGACTTGGGAAGTGAATCTACAGTCTGCAGTCTTCCTGATGATCCATTCCTCTCGTAAGAACCTCAAGATATCATTATACTGTTATTGTAGTTGAATGCTGATACATCTCAGCTCTTCATGGATGCTGCAACTTCACTGTGCAGGGGTCATTTGTGTTGAATGATATTTTTCAACAGAAAATATTATGCAAGAGATGAAACTAATTGGTGTCCGGTCAAGATGAACTGATACCCTCTCAAAGAACACCCACTTGTCTTCATACTGATGTGGCAGGCCACTGGCAACAAATTGTTTTAAACCAGAGGATTTGGAGTGGTGTTATAAATCAACTCATTTAATTTCAGCTGCTGAAAGTAGTTTCAGGCCAGTCTTCGGCCACTGCCTTCCTACAGCACTTCAAATGACCGTATCAGGGAGATTCTTAATGAATATGAAAGACTCTGAAATTGCTGGAGAAACTCAGGTCTGGCAGCATCTGTGGAGAGAAAGCAGAGTTAAGTTTCAAGTACGCTGACAACTTTTTCAGAATTACACTGAACAGTAAGTCTGTTTTCATTCTGCAGATGCTACCAGATCTGCTGAGTTTCTCCAGCAATTTCTGTTTCTGTTTCTGATTTCCAGCATTTGCGGTTCTTTGTTTGAAAATATAAAAATGTTTGAAATTGCCAGGGAAAGAGTCAGGGACTAGGACACGAACTAACTAAAAATGAACTGCATGTTAATAATAAGTAGCAATCTTACGCTAGCGCACTGTGCAAGAAAACCTGAACAACCAAGTTACCTTTAACAATCAATGCTGCAAAGTTAGACACTCCAGATCCATTTCCAGACTCAATCACACAACGATACAGGTCCTGGTTTTGCTTTGTCAACTTATGTAGCTGAAAGACTGCAATGAAGCTTTTGGGGCTAAAGTACCTTAGCTGTGCTGGTGGGCTGGTTAAGCCTCCGTGTTGTCTCTGTTAAAGAAATCAATATAACAATGTTAAAATACAACAGCAATTCAGGGAGGAAAGGTGCAAAATGTTTAATCAGGAGGTCACTCAAACAGCACAACTTGTTCCAGTGTGTACAGTGGTTTTGAATGTGCACTGACATAAATCGTACGGTGTATTTTGGACGTGATGACATTCAAAGTGCAATTCACACTGAAACAGTAGTTTTACAACACAGCAAATAACTGCATTCACACTCCATGTTATGGAGGAAAAAGTTCCATTGATACCCTGAGATTTTTTAACGTACAGTTTCATGCGCTACCAGTGTGGCAGTGAAGTAATTCTTCTTTGTTGTGATGATAGAGTTGCAGTAGAAGCAGAAATAACTTGATCTCATTGCACCAAGAACTCAAGACTAAACTCTCTCCCCCCCTGGAAACTCCCAACCACAGTTCTTGTGTGGCCTTCTGTCATTGCAAATCTATATCACAATGAGAAGGTGTGAACTGATTAGTTACAACCAGCGTAAATGCAGCCTTAAAAGTATCAGCTGTGACTCAGTCAGTAGCGCTACCCCTGTCCCCCAAAATGAGCACAGCAGGCCCACCTCCCGACACAAGCACAATGGCCAACTAAAGTTTCAGACCCCAGTTATTAGGCTCAAGACTCACTCTACAGATTTGAGACAAATCTAGATCTGTACTTCATCTTTTTCAAGACATTAAACCAATGACTCATATGCTATCTTGAATATAAATTAAAGATCCTATGGAGCTACTTTGAAGAAAAACAGGGGATTTCTCCACTCTATTCTGACTAGTATTTATCACTCGTCCAACATAATCAAAACAGATGATTTGGTTACTATCACATTGCAGCTTGGGTATGCATAAAATGGCTGTTATGTTTCCTGCATCACAAGATAAAATGATGCATCAAAAATACTACACAGCTCTTCAAAGGAGTATAATATGTGTTGATGTGATGATCAACAGAATGAATTCATCTTTTCGTGGTGAACTTTGCTGTTCATTTAACTAGTTTCAACCGGTATGAGCTCCAAACTGTACTGTGTACTTGTTGACAATCATGTAATCACTATTTACAATAGGCAGAATTTAAGAAGCTTCCCTAAAGAATAGAAGCTTAGAACCAAGTTAATTCTCCAGGACAGGCTTGGTAATTTGATAATCAAATTAAGCAGGTCTGTAAAGCTATAGAGCAATGTGGATAACTAACCAATTGATTCTGTTCATTTTTAGATTCGAGAGGCATAATCAGTTCATGGGGTGGGGTCGCTTTTCTTATTCAAGTCCAGGGAGCCTTGTAAGTGAATGACCTAATGGGCTCCACAGCAATAATTATTTCTTCTTGATGGAGATAGTTTTTGCTTGGCAAATGTGTGGCAGCAATGTTACCTGCCTCTTTTAGTCAAAGCCTGATCTGCTCAGTTTCTTCAACACTTTCTGTTTTTATTAAGTCTGAATGTTATCCATGTCTTCCTGCATTTAGACATGGACTGCTTTAGTGGTACTAACTGGGTCTGTCGATTACAACTGAGACAAATGTCTTTCAGAGGGGTTGGTGAATGAATAAAATGCTGCAGTTGTTATTTCATTTTTAGAAAGTTTGTAATGATCCTTTAAAAATGAACTCCTAATGTAAAAACTGTAATCGTACGCTTGGAAGGATAAAGCTTTGAAAAGCAGAAACGTTTTGGTTCATGCAATTTATTTGTTACAGGTGTTAGCTCTCAATTATTGCTTGACAATTATTTGATGTTTTCATCTTTCTCTGTAACCCACAATTGGTCTAGAGATTGAAGGGATGCCAAAGATAAACTTTAGTTATTGAAGTTGATCAATGCAAAACTGACTTATTTACCTGCATTGAAAGGCTTTGTGCCTTATTTATTTGTCCATGTACAATACAACGGAATGCTGCATCCTGCCCAGAATTCGTCTCCACATCTTCGAGCAGCTGGAAGTATGGAGTTTTAGCTATAAATAGAAATAGAGACTGACCATTCACGTTTTCACTGAAAGCTTTTGCATGACAATTTGGACTGTGACTAAAATGCATTTTAAGTTTAGAATTGGATAATTTTAACAATTTTCTGGGCATCTCAATCTAATATAAAACAAACAACATTTTTTCTTCTCCACATTAAATTTTCATCAACATCAAAGCAGATATTAAAACTGAAGTATAATGTCCCTCATATGTTTTAGTTGGTAAATGCATTTAGTTTATCCCCAATCCATAACTATTGCTCACATCGTGCTCTCAATTTAAATTTGCCTTCTTCACCTGGGACTCCAAATAATTGGATAAACAGAGGGGAATTCATCTTTAATCTTTTTTGTTTAGTTGAGGACTGCTTTCCTGGTTAGTGAAGGAGCATTTGAAGTAGTTGGAACTTTAATAGTTGCACAATGTCTCAACTATATATCTAACCAGGAGTTTGTCCCAATTTCACACGAACAGCAATCAAACTTAAATCAATTTCAATCAAAAGCAATGTATTGTCAGTAGCCTGAACTACAATAACAGGCTGACGAGAGAATTCTGAGAAATGCTTTAACCAAACAGAACTAGGGTGGAAGCATAATCTACAAAAATATTGAAAGACAAATTGGTAGGCATTTGTGGAAAAAACCAACAATATGGAGAAAATATAAGGATTTAGGAATAAATAAATAGATGTACTTAAAATGTTGGTGCAGAATATATGGTACATTATAGCTCCCTGTGCCAAAAGGATTCTATGACTGTGATTCCTACGGACTAAAAAATAATTGTGTGGCATTTCATTGGGTCACTTGGGGGTTAGAAAGATCTCAAGGCCAACACTTGATTTCAGTTGGTAGCCAAACTTGTCAGGGAAGCAAATTTAAGCAATGACTCTTGCTTTGTTGACCAATACAGAGTAAAAAAAAACTCATCAATTAACCTCACAAATAATGGGCAATATTCAATATGACTACCACCTTGAGTTCAGCATATTGAGGGTAAGAGAAGATAATGGCAAAGATTCACATCCTCTGAGTGAAGGGACTTCTACTTATCTCAGTCCTAAATAATTACTCTATTATCCTGAAACTGTGCCCCCAGTGTTTTAGATTCTTCAACCACAGAAACAATCTATTAGCATCTACCCTATTCAAGTCCTTTCAAAATCTTGTATATTTCAGTGAGATCATCTCTCATTCTTCTAAACTCAGAGAATATAACCCAAAATTACTTAGTCTCTCATCTTTGGACAGCTTCCCTCATCCCAGGGATCAATTTCATAAATTGTTGCTGTTCTTTGTCCAATACAATTATCTTCTTAAATATGGAGATCATTGCTAGGAATAGAATTCCAGAAACCAACCGCAATTTATGTCTATCTCTATCATTGTCAGTTACCCTCTTGCTGCCAGCCAAATATGCTATGATTCATCTTTCAATCAATCCAGGAATCTGGTGATCGTATATATTATTGTGGTCTTAAGCTGTCAATTGCATATTGAAAAGCAACCTTTCCTTTAGAATGTCATTGCAGAACAATATTATAAACAGCACACAGGAAGCATTTATATACATCAAGAAATAAAGACAATGCCAAGGAATGAAGGGAGGTACAAATGACTACATAATTAGTTATGATTTTTACAAGTAAATATAATCCCAGAGTACTTAATCACAGAGTATTTAAGTAAGTAGCCCCAGAGTTAGCAGATATGTTACCGTGCCATGTTGCTGAAATGAATTGAGATCAAGTTGGCAGACAGGTAGCAAAGAGTAAGAAGAAATGGGTTTTTTTGCCAAGTGGCAAGCAATGATTAGTGGAATCAGTGCTTTGATCCCAGATATTCACAACATATATTAATTGTTTAGATGAGGAAACTCTGGGTCATATCTCCAAGTTTGTAGATTACACAAAGCTGGGTGGAGGGTATGCTATGAGGAGGATGCAGAGAAGCTTCAGTGTGATTTGGACAAGTTAATGGAGAAACACATGGCAGACGCAGCACTATAATGATAAACGTGAGATTATCCACATGGGTAGCTAAAGCAGGAAGGCAGATTATCTGAATAACAATAGAGTGAAAAAGGGGGAGTTACATGGTAAATCCACAGGAACAGATTCAGGAATGCTGAGTGTTTATTTTACAGTAGCACCTGCAGTCTCAAATTTGTTCTAATCTGTGGCATAACTCTTCTAAAAACCATGGACTTTTTATTATTTGATTGTGAGACGTGGGCGTCGCTGGCTGGCCAGCATTTATTGCCCATCCCTAGTTGCCTTGAGAAGGCGGTGGTGAGCTGCCTTCTTGAAACACTGCAGTCTACCTGCTGTAGGTTGACCCACAAAGCCATTAGGGAGAGAATTCCAGGATTTTGACCCAGCGACAGTGGCGATATATCGAATGACGATGTATTTCTAAGTTAGGATGGTGAGTAGCTTGCAGGGGAACTTGAAGGTGGTGGTGTTCTCGAATATCTGCTGCCCTTGTCTTTCTATATGGAAATGGTCATGGGTTTGGAAAGTGCTATCAGAGGATCTTTGGTGAGTTTCTGCAGCTCAACCTGTAGATAGTACACACTGCTGCTCCCCTCACTGCTGGAGGGAGTGGATGCTTGTTGATGTAGTGCCATTCAAGAGGGCTGTTTTGTGCTGGATGGTGTCAAGCTTCTTGAGTGTTGTTGGGGCTGCACTCATCCAGGCAAGTGGGGAGTATTCCATCACACTGCTGACTTGTGCCTTGTAGATAGTGGACAGGCTTTAAGGAACCAGGAGGTGAGTTACTCGCTGCAGTATTCCTAGTTTCTGATCAGCTCTTGTAGCCACTGTGTTTATTTGGTAAGTCCGGTTGAGTTTCTGTTCAATGATAACCCCCAGGATGTTGATGTTTGGAGATTCAGTGATGGTAACACTTTTGAATGCAAAGGGGGCTGTGGTTAGATTGTCTCTTATTTGTGGTAGTCATTGCCTGGCATTTGTGTGGCACGAATGTTACTTACCACATGTTAGCCCAAACCTGGATATTGTCCACATCTTGTTGCATTTGAACATGGATTGCTTCAGTATCTGAGGAGTTGCGAATGGTGCTGAACATTTGTGCAATCATCGGTGAACATCCCCATTTCTGATCTTATGTTGGAGAGATGGTCATTGACGAAGCAGCTGAAGATGGTTGGGCCAAGGACATTACCCTGAGGAACTCCTGCAGACATGTCCTGGAACTGAGTTGATTGATCTCCAACAACCACAACCATCTTCCTATGTGTCAGGTATGACTCCAACCACCGGAGGGTTTGCCCCTCAATACCCACTGATTCCAGTTTTGCAAGGGCTCCTTGAAGCCACACTCGGTCAAATGCAGCCTTGATGTCAAGGGCTGTCACTGTCAGCTCAGCTCTGGATTTCAGCTCTATTGTCCATGTTTAGACTAAGGCTGTAATGAGGTCAGGAGCTGAGTGGCCCTGGCGGAACCCAAACTGGACGTCATTGAGCAAGTTATCGCTGAACAGATGTTGCTTGATAGCACTGTTGATGACACCTTCCATCACTTTACTGATGATCGACAGTGAGCTGATGGGGCAGTAAATGCCTGGGTTTGATTTGTTCTGCTCTTTTATATACAGGACACACAGGCAATTTTCCACATTGTCGGGTAGATACTAGTGTCATACCTGTACTGGATCAGCATGGCCAGGGGAGCGGCAATTTCTGGAGCACAAGTCTTCAGTACTATTGCCGGAATGTTGTCAGGGCCCATAGCCTTTGCAGTATCTAGTATCTCCAACCATTTCTTTATATCACATGGAGTGAATTGAATTGGCTGAAGACTGGCATCTCTAACGCTGGGGACCACTGGAGGAGGCCGAGATGAATCATTTATTCGGCACTTCTGGTTGAAGATTGCTGTGAAAGATTCAGCCTTACCTTTTGTACTGTTGTGCTGGGCTCTTCCATAATTGAGGATATTTGTGCAGCCTCCTCCTCCAGTGAGTTGTTTAGTTGTCCGCCACCATTCACGACTGGATGTGGCAGGACTGTAGAGCTTAGATCTGATCCGCTGGTTGTAAGATCACTTAGCTCTATCCCCTTCTGCTTATGCTATTTGGAATGCAAATAGTACTGTTTGGTGGCTTCACCAGATTGACACCTTATCTTCAGGTATGCCTGGTGCTGCTCCTGACATGCCTTCCTGCACTCTCCATTGAACCAGGGTTGATCCCATGGCTTGATGGTAATGGTTGAGTGGGGAATATACCAGGCCATGAAGTTACATATTGTGCTGGAGTACAATTCTGCTGCTGTTGATGGCCTACAACGCCTCATGGATGCCCAGTCTTAAGTTCCTACATCTGTGCAAAGTCTGCCCCATTTATTGGTGATAGTGCCACACAACACAATGGAGGTTATTCTCAATGTGAAGGCAGGACTTAATCTCCACAAAGGCCATGCAGTGGTCACCTCTTACCGATACTGTCATGGACAGATGCATCTGCAGCTGGCATTATGGTAAGGATGAGATCAAATATATTGTTCCCTTTCATTGGTTCCCTCACCATCTGTCACAGACTCAGTCTAGCAACTATATGCATTAGGGCACAACCAGCTTGATCAGTGCTGCCAAGCCACTCTTGTTGATAGACATTGAAATACGCCACTGAGAGTATATTTTGTGCCCTTGCCACCCTCAGTGTTTCCTTTAAGTGTTGTTCAACATGGAGGGGTACCAATTCATCACCTGAGGGAGGATGGTACGTGGTAATCAGCAGGAGGTTTCCTTGCCCATGTTTAACTTGAAGTCATGAGCCTTCACGGGGTCCAGAGTCAATATTGAGGACTTCCATAGCAACTCTCTCTTGACTGTATACCACCGTATACCACTGTGTTGCCACCTCTGCTGGGTCTGTCCTGCCAACGAGACAGGACATGTCCAGGGATGGTGATGGCGGTGTCTGGGACATTGTCTGTAAGGTATAATTCTGTGAGTATTGC